CTAAACATACTAGGCAATTCTGTGCGTGCATTTCGAATCTCACTGCTCGTTTAGTTTTGTTTCCCTGACATACCAGGCTCACGATTCGTGCAATTTTCTACCAAACGGGTACTAGTTCATGCATTTACTATTGTACTACACACACATTTCGTGTGTTTACAACCCGTGAACAGAACTTTGGTTTGTTACAATGATTGTTATTAAGCTATTATGTTCACTTATTGTATATTGTCAAACGGGCACTGTTTGTTTCCCTGTCACACAACTATAATGCTGGGGCATAGCTCACAAACAATGTTTCACATAAACCACACTGACCCCTACAGGTCACTCTCAAAATCTCACGTTAACCTTGCATTTGGATTAACCCCTTAAGGACCAAACTCTGGAATAAATGATATGTCACACATGTCATGTATCCTTCAGGGGTTAAAGGGTATTTTACCATACAATCAGCATTTCTGACCCCTACTGGTCAACAGCAAAACTGTCTTCACATGTCATATACAATTACCAGCCAATATAAATTACACATAAGATTGTTTTAAACATAACCATAAACCATGAATTAAACTCCAACACGGGCTCAACTTCAGGTTTAATTCACAATAATTTACATTTCACATTAAGACTAACAGTGGTTCTATCAACACTGCCACCTACAGGTCTGTCAAGTACATTGACAATTTTCATGGGGTTTTACAAACACCAAAACACTGACCCCTATAGGTCAACAGACAAACAACATTTCACATACCAATCAGTATCAACTACACTGCCACCTATAGGGCACTCGGCAGATCTCCAGTGCACTTGCATTTTGCAACTCCATGTTCACTTGCCATTCAATAAGGCATACAACAATTCACATAGCAAGCAGTATATCAATATCTGTTATAAATACACATATTATTACACAGTAGCACACGCATCTGTATATACGTAACTGGTAATATGGTTCACATACATACGGCACTTAATGGGTTAAGATTGATACATATTTAACCAGTATGGATATGATGTTTAATATTTACATATCACGGCACTTTACTTTCACATATACTGTATGTTTTAAGATAAGCTTGGTCTATGCCATATTTCCTTATGCCATACGATTTTATCCATTCAGGTTACAGTTACTACTAAAAAACCTATAAGGATTGTCAGGTTCAATACCATACTACCAGGTACGTACACCTGCTCACGTAGTTATCCATCTCTTACCTTCCCTGGAATAGTAATAGTGTACCGGCAATTAGGGTTCTAGGGCCCAATAGGTATTACCCCCTTTTTTCTCTGCATTATGCTTCAGTTAGTGGTCCCGCGAGGCCAACACCCCGCCTCACACTCGGAGGCATACACCCCTCGGGCCACTCGTGAGCTAGCCGCCTCGCATTGTATCATAGAGAGGGCCTCACCTGTCACTCCCCTTCCTATTTTTCTGGTTACTGTCACCGAGAGGCCAACATCCTGCCACAACGTTCGGTGGCCACACAAAATCCCCTCGCGCCAAGCATAGATAGAGCCTCTCAAGCCACTTGGCAACTAGCAGGGCCTCACCAGTCACCAAAAAACACCAAGCCTAATCGTTTCGCCTTACGGCTTAGCTAGCAAGCCGGTACAAGACCCCTGGGTACAAATATATAATTGCAATCTTTATTGTTATTTAAGTATTTCTCAAAAAGATGGTAAAGAATCACCTCTTCCTAGCACCACGGCTAGAAGTGATACACCTTCATCTCTTACCTTCCCTGGAATAGTAGTAATGTACTGGCAATTAGGGTTCTATGGCCCAATAGGTATTACCCCCTGTTTTCTCTGCTTTACGCTTCGGTTAGTGGTCCCGCGAGGCCAACACCCCGCCTCACACTCGGAGGCATACACCCCTCGGGCCACTCGTGAGCTAGCCGCCTCGCATTGTATCATAGAGAGGGCCTCACCTGTCACTCCCCCTCCTATTTTCTGGTTACTGTCACCGAGAGGCCAACATCCTGCCACAACGTTCGGTGGCCACAAAAAAAATTTCCCTCACCAGTCACCAAAAAACACCAAGCCTAATCGTTTCGCCTTACGGCTTAGCTAGCAAGCCAGTACAAGACCCCTGGGTACAAATAATAATTGCAATCTTTATTGTTATTTAAGTATTTCTCAAAAAGATGGTGAAGAATCACCTCTTCCTGGCACCCCGGCTAGAAGTGATACACCTTCAAGCAGAGGAGATGTGGCTCCGACCTAAGGAGGCGACAAATACCCTACCCTGCCACAGCAAGGAAAGCAGAGTTATTCAAACTCCTCCATACATCAATGGACAACACGGAGGCAGGGGAAGGCCCAGCAACACCAACTCAGGTGACACCCAGGCCATGCTAGCCTCACTCATAAACTCATGAGCCAAAAAATTTACGACAGACTGGCAATTTCGAGTCAGTCACAGCCCTCACAAGGCTGGGCCTCACGCTACTGTACAACCAGCACCAACCGAAACTCGGTTACTTGGTACAAGACGTTAACCCTGCACATATGATCCCGGCACATTGGGGAAACAAGGCATATATATGTATGATGATGTATCTATGATGGTCAGACCCAGGGATTCTAGGTAAATCGGGAACTGACCATCCCTTGGTTGTGTTGGCATTTGGAATATGTAGAGATGCTTATTTGTGCAGGTACCCATACAGAAGGGATTTTCTCCCAAACAAACGGGTGAGCACTCTCAGGCTCCAGGTACCAGCACCTCTGAACTACCATAGACAATTGGTATTAGTAGTTGCATTGCATATAGACTGTTGCATATATGTTCAAATCATTCAGGGCACATGACAAACCATGTGTCCCAATACAACTTACAAATAACGTACTCTCCATCTGTACACACCAATGCATTTTCAACACTACTGACTCATCACCCTTCCAGACTTGTAGTAGAGTTACTAAGGCTCTGGAGCTTCAAAGGGCTCCCATACAGGTATCATAAATAAACTCTCAAGGAATATAGCATGCCCTCACTTACAGTCAGCACAACAGAACTGTCGGCTGTAAACACACTCATAGCCAAGATTTGCAGAGGGGTTTTTACTTGGGTTTTCCAATCTCCACCATTTACAGCATGGCACCAAACACAAATGCATTGGTATTGTCACAAGGGAATCTTCCCTTAAACAAAGACTAACCATAGACTTATTGGCACCACACACCTTCGCTACCCCAAGTCTCAACTCCCTCATACCCTCCGAGGAGTTTCCTTACTATACACACCATTGATCTACCTTTACAGCTATCACTCAAGCAGGGGTTGAAGCTTCGTTAAGTAAGACCAATATCATCAACACAGTAAACGGCTACCATCTACCCTACAAACTGGCACTTACATGGCATAAAATGGGCAATCCTTTCCCCGCTAAAAGCAGCTGCTGTGGCATGGGGTAAATCATGGTCAGGGTCATCAATCCGTTGTTACTCAGACAACTGAGCACATGTCATATCATCAACAAATGCCACTCATCATCCATACGATCATGGTATTGCTGGGGAACTCACTTGGTTGGCCACTTACCACATTTCTTTTACTTTCATGTACCAGGCGTTGGTATACATCCTTGCCGACAATTGTCTCATTTATATTCCAGGCACGTTTATCATACGCTTCCTACAGCCTTATATACAGTCACGGCCACTCTTTCGTTCCAGAGACAAAATCATGGATTAGACATACTCATGCAGCATAGCATGCACTATCCCACCTAGCACTTTCATCCCATACTTGTAGAACGCACCTATTCACCTGGCTTTAAAGAATCTCATTGGAACACGACATAGCTCAACCTGTGTCATAACATTTCTCCTAGGTTTTGCTTCATTTTTTGCCACCTTAAACTAAAAACATCTCACACACCATTAATTATATATTTTACAGGCATTCAACAACACAGGATAACCTATGGCCAAAACTACCATAACTTCATGCTATCATACCAGACAAGAATATACTCAGAGGTTTTCAGGAATCCATCCCCCCACGTTCCTCACAGATATTACCAATAGCCATCCAACTTTTCCATCCTTATTGGACCTATTAGAGCTACAACCTTTCAATTATACTACCAAGTTGGCCATTACCAGCCATGCACACTGCCTTTTATGCCTTTCTCAGGCCAGAGAATCCACTACCATAACCACCACTCAGACAGATCATTGTCTTCAACGATCCCACGTGTGTAAATACATATATCATTACCTATTGGCTCTACCACATTCCGAAACGAGTCAACACGCACCAACAGTAGAGATAACATACTATCCTACCCACAACAAATGGTGTCCAGTTGCGGTCCTAGATTCCTACCTTCAAAAATCCTTCAAGGAATTAAATACCGTAATGCATTTAAGGAAATGTCTGGTTAATTTGTATATATTGTTGACTGTATTAAATCTTTGATTATTCTTTTTGCCCTCTTTATTTACAGGCCTACCGTATCGTCGGTCTTGGCACACCACAACCGACTTGCTCCCTTTATACTATCCTACGCTTATGCTGGAACCTTACTCCATATACGGCTATTTGCCCCGAACACACACACACACTCTCTCTCTCTCTCTCAATATGTGTCAGAAATGGACACATATTGCGAGCGATCAGATACATACGATCGAAACCAGGTTAGCGAACGATCACCAATACCTGAGTTTTTGAGTTTGTGCAGTAGAATGTCGTGGTCTACTGTGTCACAGGCCTTAGCAAAATCAAGGAAAATAGCTCCAGTTAGGGCTCCTTGTTCCATGCCAGTTTGGATGTCATTGCAAACTTTTAAGAGGGCAGTTGTAGTGGAGTGATTCTGGCGAAAGCCCGATTGATCAGGGGTCAGATAGTTTAATTGTTGGTAGTACTCAAAAAGTTGCATATGGACACTTTTTTTATGTATATATATTTCTGTATCTATCTATATAATCTATTTAATCTGTATGTACCTTTGGTTATACTGAATTTTGATCTATCTATA